GTGTCTGTGTCATATTTGTTCTTTTATCATATCCATTGTTTTGATGTGTTTTCTTGCTGGATTCTGTAGAGACGTGATAGCTTCGCCCCTTCGGAATTTTATTGGACAGCCGAAATCACGTGAGGGTATTGAGTTCCGGATTCTCCACACACTCGATCATATGGGTCTTATTTTACGGTAGGTAATGTGGTACTATTCCTGCCAGTTTATTTTATCCCCCGTTGTCACAGACGAGGCTTAAGCCTAGTCCCAGACTAAAATGCTTGTGTGGGCTGTTTTACCTGAAAGAAACTTGCACTGACATCTCTTAAAACATGTCAGTGCCATTGTTTTGTCTCAAGATGCACACAAGCAATGTTATTTTCTAAGGCACGTTTATAAAAGATACTTAAATGTCTTAATTGAACTATGGCTTAATCTTGGTTTAACCTAAGCCCTGTCTGTGAAACTAGGCCTATATGTTTACAAAATGTGATAAACATGGTTGCATAGTACACTGAAACGTGTATACGTGACTTTGTATTCAGGATAGTTGCTTAGTGTACTACACATCAGTGATAACCACCTGACTCTGGATGTTTTAACGATAAATCAATCTCGAAAATGTCTTGACGACACTTGACCACTGATGCCCTTGACAGAAGTGTGTTTTCAGTATTTGCATAATATTATAGTATTTATTAATATTTTGAATGAGCTTTTTCAGTTTTCATTTTAATTTAAAAGTTCTAGTAGTTTCATGTTTTTGGCATGTCATTTTTTTTAAATATTTTTTTATTTATTTTATTTCAGCATTATTTCAATTAGCTAAAATATGTTTTAATATTAATTAGTTGTAGTATTTGTCTTTAAAAAGTGTAATTTCTTTTAATGTGTAAGGTGAAATTATTTTATGTGCTTTAACTAGTCACCTTTTTAAGGTTTCAGCATTTTAATTTTTGCCTTCACTAGTTTGTTTTAAAAAGGTTTTGGATGGAGAAATCATTTTTAAAATACAAATATTTTATGCTGTCTTGCCATGTGAGGACAAAACGTGAGGTATAGAAGAGTTATACTGATCATATACAATAAAAACAATTTCATGTTTTCTTCTAAATATTGTTTACAATTTACAGTTCTTTCTGTCTACTATGTAAACCGCATATACAACATACACACATTGAAGTTCAGCTGTGTTTTCAGAGAATGCTGTCATGTTACTTTCAGATAAAGATGCTGGGCTGAGTTTTAATAAATGTGAATTCATATTTGCATATCTCTGCATATGTGTACAGACACATGGAGCGTGTGTTCGGTTTAGGCGTTGTGCCATTGGCAGCTGGGACTGTGGGGCTGCTGATTTTGCTGAAAATGATCCAGAGGTTGAGACACAAGCAGGATCTACAGGATAAAGTGGTGGTGATCACTGGAGCCAGTTCAGGCCTGGGCAAAGGTTACATGAACATGAACTCACTTATAATGCTGATCAAAATGTCTTATCAATGACATTTGACTGTAGATATTGTATAATTGTTTGTTTTAATATATTCAGTCTGTCTTTTGTACCTCAGAGTGTGCACGGGTTTTCCATGCGGCAGGGGCCCGACTGATCCTGTGCGGACGAGAACAGAAGAGACTGCAGGAGGTTGTGGAGGAGCTCAGAAACCAAAGCAGTGGAAAGATACAGGTGAAAACATACAATCAAATCAAAGTTATGTTATCTCTTAAGCCTAATTTAACCTTTAAAGGGGCCATATGATGCGATTTCAAGTTTTCCTTTGGAGTGTTACAAGCTGATTGTGCATAGATAAGATCCCTGAAGTTGCAAAGACTAAAGTCTTAAAACCAAAGAGATATTCTTTATCAAAGTTAAGACTCTGCCACGCCCCCCTAAAACGGCTCGTTCTAACATGCCCCCACATATCTACCTCACTATGTGGAAATATTTGCATAATGCCACCCAAATGTGCACGCAAAGTCTGTCTTTACATTTATTTTGAAAGATGAAGCTCGTGATTATGGTAAGGGGTGTTACATTTCCGACGTGTGCTTGCAGTGTTCGGTGTTCGGCCAATCACAATGCACTGGGTCAGCTGGCCAATCAGAGCAGACTGCGCTTGTCGGAAGGAGGGGCTTTGTAGAAAACGAAGCGTTTGAGAGAGGCGGGGCATAGAGGACCTACAATAATGTACAGTATTTGAAAAATAATGTGTTTTTTGAACATTAAAGCATGTCAACATATTCTGTTACACCAAATACACAAAATAATGATATTTAAAAAAGCATCATATGAACCCTTTAAAGCCTTAATTTATGAGAAAGATATAGTTACTTACACTAGGCAAAAAAATGTGAATGTATCCAAACATATTTATGTCCAGTCTCTTAACTGGGTTTATTACTCTCTTTTTCAGACTTACTCTCCCTGCACTGTCACCTTTGACCTCTCCAACACATCTCTGGTTTCCAGTGCCGCCGAGGAGATTTTGAAGTGCCACGGTCATGTTGATGTCCTCATCAACAATGCAGGCATTAGTTACCGTGGCAACATCCTGGACACCCATGTATCAGTTCAGCGAGATGTCATGGAGACTAACTACTTCGGTCCTGTTGCTCTTACACAAGGTTAGTGGAGAAGAGTCAAAGAAAGAGATCAGTGGAATGATTATATATCTGGTTATATAAACACACATGCACTACCGTTCAAATATTTAACTTTTATACTTACCAAGGCTGCATTTATTTGATCAAAAATACAGTAAAAACAGTATTATTGTGAAATATTATTACAACTTAAAATTTATTCCTGTACTGGCAAAGCTGAATTTTCAGCATTATTACTCCAGTCTTCAGTGTCACATGATCCTTCAGAAATCACTCTAATATGATATTTTGCTGCTCAAGAAATGTTTCTTATTATTATCAATGTTGAAAACAGTTGTTCTGCTTAATATTTTTGTGGAAACTAATTGTGGAATTGTTTTTCCAGGATTCTACAATTGATAGAAATTTAAAAACTAGCATATAAATGTCTTTACTGTCACTTTTGATCAATTTCATGTGTCATTGCTGAATGTTAATTTCTTTAAAAACAAACAAAAAAAAACTTACCGACACCCAACTTTTGAACCATAGTGTACAGTGGGTACGGAAAGTATTCAGACCCCCTTAAATTTTTCACTCAATGTCAACAATTCTGTGTTTTTCTGTCAATATGGGGTGCTGTGTGTACATTAATGAGGGAAAAAAAATAACTTAAATGATTTTAGCAAATGGCTGCAATATAACAAAGAGTGAAAAATTTAAGGGGGTCTGAATACTTTCCGTACCCACTGTATGTATATTAGTGCTGTCAAACGATCAATCGCATGCAAAATAAAACTTTTTGTTTGCATAATATATGTTTGTGTTCTGTGTATATTTATTATGTATACATAAATGCACACACATACAGTATATATTTGGAAAATATGTATATATTTATATTCATATAATTTATATTATAAATAAATATATTTAATATATAAACATAACATATTTTTCTGAAATATATACATGCATGTGTGTGTATTTATATATACATAATAAATATACACAGTACACACACATACATTATGTAAAGAAAAACGTTTATTTTGAATGCGTTTAATCGCGATTAACAAAACTAAATGTATATTAATGTAAAAATTACATTAAATGTGAAACAATACAAAAGTATAGGCCTAGATAATGTAACTTACATCATATCACATTATACATGACATTATGTCGACAGAATAATAATATAATTTTTTTTTTGTTCCATCCAGCCATTCTGCCTTCGATGGTAGATAGACGCAGTGGACATATCGTTGTCATCAGCAGCGTGCAGGGAAAGATCTCCATACCGTACAGATCTGCATGTGAGTATATATTCACAAAAGAAGGTATTCAGATGAGGGAATTCAAAGATTCATGAATAAAAACAGTATTATTTTTAATCGAGCACCTTGCTTGCATATCTGAAATGTTTTCTGTCAGATTCTGCATCCAAGCATGCGACGCAGGCCTACTTTGACTGTTTGAGGGCAGAGGTCGGCAGGTTCGGCCTGCAGGTGTCTGTCATCAGCCCTGGTTACATCAGAACAAACCTGTCCATCAATGCAGTCACGGGGGACGGCTCGAAATATGGAGGTGAGAGCATGTTGTTCTTGTCAACCAATCTCTGAATGTGAGGTATGAAATATGTTTTGGAAAATGAGTATCATAAATATACATATTTTAATATTTAGTCAAATGTTTCTTTTTGTTCTTTTGGATCTGAAGTAATGGACAAAACCACAGCGAAGGGCTCGGATCCAGTGGACGTGGCACGTGCTGTTCTGAAAGCTGTCTGTCACCAACAGAAAGACGTGGTTTTGGCTGGGCTGCTACCCACTGCAGCCATTTATCTGCGTGCACTGTGGCCCGCTCTCTACTTCAGACTGATGGGTTCACGGGCCATAAAAGAACAGAGGGTGAAGGAGGAATAAGAGAAAACAGTATTCAGGGAAACCTTTGCATCTTTCCTCTGAAGATTTCATAGCTAAAAAGTCTCATTTTTAAGTCTAAAAGTAAATACTCATGGAATGTATTTAATAAATATTTAAAAATGGATTCAGTTGCTCGAATCATCTCTGATCTTTGAAAAACACAACAGCAAGTTGACCAGTCCTTAGATAAGCAGAACAAACATTTATCATACAAGAACCAGATTACGTCTATTTATATTTCTGCTGGTCTTAAACAGTCTTAATTTGCCCTTCCACAAATTAAGGACTTGAAAGGTCTTAAATTGGAGCACAAAGTCTTACATTCATAAAGTTATGGCATTAAATGTTCTTTTGTCAGTATTATTGTCTTGTTTTCCAATACAAATATCTAAACATCCTTAATTCAAGATACATTTACTTGAGATGCAAAATGACAATACTGTCTTGTTTTTTAATAAAATTAACAAAATTGAGTGTTTATTTTAAAAATAATTTTTTGAATTAAGGTGACTTGACTAAGCAGATATTTCTTTTTTTAAAAACATTAATTGACTTCATTTTGATAAAGACATGTCATTTTTGAGTATATCTTGATTTTTTGCGCGTGTGTAAAATTAATTAAAAAGTAATGGAGATCGGTTGGAAGTTACATTTTTGTAAACTTTGAAGTGCTACTAATACAATTCACACAAGAAGTCATCGTGTTCTTCTTAGACATTTAGATAACATACTAACATGTTTCCTTCAGTGTATTCCTTAAATGTTCTTTAATTGGTCTTTAAAAAAGTCTTAAATTTACCTTGATAAAGCTTGCTGAAACCCCATTATATTGTCCTTATTGATTACTTATTAACCCTAATTTATTATTAACTGACTTTTCCACTCCATGCACCCTGTTAGACTTGGCAAATTTTCATGTCACCTTTTGCCTATAGTTATAAATCAAATCACATTTTTCTTTGTAGTTCCCTTTTGGCTATCACTGATTATCATCATAATGTTCAGGTGCCCCTTATTCCAACAGGAAGTTGGAATAATATGAATGTTTAATGGTTTGTTTACGTTTTAATAAAGTTCTCACCTGCCTTCTGCCCCAATTAAATGTTACTTGAAAGATTTCCATGGCAACAGAAAACAATAAAAACAGACGTGGAGCGTCACTGCAAGGACCACATCATGATAATCTGGTTATGACAGATGCTAAGACGCACCAAACATATGCAGCTCTCAAAACCCGGGAGATGAATGTGCATGATGAAACAGTTGTGCTTTAGAGGAAAGGCCATTTCTAAACTGTGCATTATCTGACATATCCTCCTGAGAAGCAGAAAAAAAAATTGTGAATTTTTTTTTGTCATTACATTGGTTGGAGCATAAATAACAAATGGAGAGAAAAAAAATATATATATTTTATTAATATTTTATTCTATGTCCTTTGTAGAGGACGCAAGGACTAAGTTATTCAAATAAATAAACACATGAAAAAGCAAAAACAATGTTTTATTTTTTATTCACCAACCTGTTTTTATGTTTCAGGCTTTTTTTAGCCAAGTTTTGTACAAAGATGATTTTCTACTATGTTGAAAGATATAACTGTACTTTATGCAATGTGTGCAAAAAGTCCATATATTGGTAATCCCATTCTATACTCACAATTTGAGTTGAATTACTGAAATAGATTAACTTTTCCACGACATTCTAATTTATTGAGATGCACCTGTATACATTGCATCTAATTTCTTTCCCTATTGACTTGTGTCTCTCTAAAATGCCTGATTAACATGATGTTCATCCTGGTGTCCTCTACAGAAGACATGTATGAAAATTATGCTCTGTTTCATAACAAAAAGTCATATTCCGATTTGAAACCCCATAACACTTTTTTGAGATGTTTATTTACGGCAAACAATTTGAAAATTAGACAGATTTAACTTATAATTACAAAACATTATCATATTTCCCTAAGAGTGCTAAATTCGATCATTCTGTCAATATCAGTCATATCTAAAGACCAAGGAAAGGGAGTGTTTACGATCAAACCTCCACACATTTGATATCTCTAAAAAGCCCTGAATGTGCCCTAAAACTGTGGCCTGTATGCTCTCAGAGAAATTCACTAAAATATAATGTCCTCTACAGAGAACAAAAGTCTAAGCCTGGATCCCACGAGGATACAGAGGGAGATTTTTCTTCAAGAAACTTACCAATGGACCATGATGTTGGTCCAAATCAAAACTCCATTTGCAACATTTTAATGCTGAACAAAAACTTTCAGAAAATATGGATGTCACAATGCCAACCCAGTTGATTTTTGTTTCCAAATAAGGTTGATGCTGGAAACCGGGCAGACATTTCTGTCACAGCAATATTCTTTAAATGGTGTTCAAACAGTTAATCTAAACAGAATGAAAATTACTGCCTCACTCATTCCTTCGTTTCCACCAATTCACATACTGCTCCAAACTCTCAGATTTAAACAGGTGTCCATGCGCATGAAATATGTGGTATTTTGCCCGATTCTTCTTCCACAAATTTACTTTAAGATGAGTTCCGCGTTCTCAGTTGTAAGCCTAGTTTTCTTTGAAACCCAGTAAAACATATAAACACCAGAGTTGTACAATGCCTCAGCACTGAAAAACCCCATTCCAGTTCCCATAGCTCTTAACTAAATGCGATCTGTGACGAGAATATTTTGAAATTGATTTTTTTAAACACAACATATGGATTCACCTTCTGACCTGAGAGCAACAGACATGAATTACAGTAGAATTTCCTCACATGACCTAGACACAAACTTGGACTTTGTGTTTAAGCATTAATCTTAAATCAATCTTTACCTAAAATGTAATCTTAATTCCACATTAATCTGGAATTAAGCATTATTTCTTTATGTAGTGTCACTTCTAGGACATTCTAAAACGAGCAGTTTTGATAAACCTGAATAATCTTTTAAAAGGCAAAAAAAAAATCTACTTTTTAAAGGGGTCATCGGATGCCCATTTTCCACAAGTTGATATGATTCTTTAGGGTCTTAATGAAAAGTCAATAACATAGTTTGGTTAAAATTTCTCAATGGTAGTGTAAAAAACACTTTTTACCCTGTCAAAAACAGCTCTTTTCAGATCAAGCCGTTTTTGTAGCATTTTCCTTTAAATGTTAATGAGCTCTGCCCTCTCTTCCCAGCTGCTCTGAGAGACTTTACTTTAGCAGCATTCATCTTGCTAATTAGCACATTATTAGGAAAGGCATTTGCAAAGATTCATTACAAACCATTATACTCACTTCTTCTGTAGATGAGGCTGGATCATGAATGATTCCTGCCAACAAAGACGCATTTATGTAGATCGGGGGCGCATTCCCTTCAGAAACAATGTAAGCCACTGCGAGTTCAGCGGCTCAGATGTTGGGAGTAAATGACGACTGCTATGTTCATTATTACATCCAACAACAGAACACCTCAATCGCTTAGGAGTCATTCTTGTCTACATCTGCTCCAGCGGTGAAACAATGGCGGACTGATGACAGCTCAATCAGGGTGGGTCTGAGGTAGGGATATGCCGGTATCAAATCTTCATGTTGCGATTAATTGCTAATGCTTTTATTACGGTATACGGTATTATCACAGTATTGAAATTTTGTTTTAAAAAAGTGCTGTCATAATACAGTATAACAGGTTTAATAACTTTTTTCTTATAACAAAAATAACTGATCATTTAAATGCAATAAAGCAATACAGAAAAATGTATAAAGCTAAAAGTTTTACGCAGATTAAAGTGCAAAAGAACTATAAAGACCAATAGGTATCACTTTACAATAAGACCTCATTAGTTAACCTTACTTAATGCATTAACATTCACAATGAGCAATAGCTACATTTGCTACAGAAGTTATTAATGATTAGTTATTAAGTCTTAGTTCATGTTAGCTCATTAAATAACCCAGTTGCAACTTTCGATTTTAACGTGTTATTAAATATTGGAATACCTAAGATTCATTAATGTTCAGAAGAATTTTTCATTGGCAGTTTATGTTAACTAATGAAGCCCTAATGTAAAGTGTGACCGAACAATAAAGAATCAAAACACTTTCAAACAATATCTAGGGCATGTTGTAGTCCAGATTAAAATGTAAAAAATAAAATAGCCTATTAAGTCTAAATATTTAAGTATTTGGCACTGTGATGAACACATAGCAATTACACAAATCTGAATGGCTGTTTAAATCATTTAAACACGATTCAGAAACAGAAAGTAGTGCAGCTGCTGTTTACAGGGTTTCATTTAAATTAATTACTATTATTATAATTTCTGCAGTTTAGCGCCATCTGCTGTCAGAGTGAAAGTGCGCTTTCATCCAGAGCATCTCTCACATGTTCCGCCATGTGCTTCTCGTCCGCACTTATTTACATCAGTGCGCATGCGTCTCCACGCAGCATACAGCAGTGTTGTGCATTTTGACCAGTTGATGGGAAAAGTATTCTTACAATGCATTCAAAATTCTGAATAACTTGTAATATATAATTATTCACGGTATTTAGAAGAGCCCACGATAACAATATCGTGCACATTCATTACCGTGATATATCGCATTACCGAATACCGGCACAAGTCTAGTCTGAGGTAAGACACCAGTCCAGTCTGTGCTGAAACGCTACTGTCAATCAAACTATCCTGGGCGGGGCCTGTCTGTGTGACGTCACACAGACACCTGTCTGAGATCGCTGGATTTGAAAGGGGAAAACATTTAACATGATTAAAAAAAACACTGGGTGGATTTGTATCATTATAGGGTGGTTGTGTACACACACTGCCAACACACATTTCAGTTCAAACAACTTGTAAAAGTGCTTGTAGCATCCTATGACCCCTTTAAGAATAACTAACAGTAACCAACCATCTGATATGTCAAAACTACAAACCTTGGGCTGAATGTGAAGTGTAGACCAACTGCAGACAATAGGACTGTTTGACAAAACATCAATTTTGCAATTCTAGTGAGCAGAAATTACACTTAAATGCTTAAAATAAGACTGACCCCACTTTACCCTACCTTTTTTCCCTTTGAATATTCTGTTTCAGATAGTATACACTACAGTATGGAAATAAAACATATCAGAAGACTTATTTTAAGCCCCACAGGGGTTGTTCACAAGTGTGAACATTATTTAACATGGCACCATTCATACAAAATACCATTTGAGACTAAAACTTTCACAATGTGGTCTTATGCAAACTGTTCTGCTAATTCAAAGAATAGTAATAACCAAAAATTAAAAACATAAAAATTAAGTAACAGCATGGGTCTGGAACACAAGTAAATGACAAAATATTAATATATGGGTGAACTATGCATTTCAGATGAGTTTACATTTACTGCTCATCTTTTATATGAATCTTTTATTACTTCATAAGAGGAACTGGATTTATACTAATCCATTTACTCCCACATTCAGTCCTTTGTTCCGATCTTGCTGATTTGAAAAGGTTTCCATGTGAATGAAATATGCGCTATCTTGTCCAATTATTTTCCCACAAGTTTACCCTTCAAATTACTTATGAGTTACGCATTTCCATTTGAACTCTAGTTTCCCTTGAAACCCAATAACATAGCATATATGGCTCTAGATCAACATGAGTAAATTACAAAATTGTAATTTTGGGGGTGAAGTGAACTATCCGTTTCAGAGGAGTTCACCTTTACAGCTCACCTTTCATATTTACTGTTCATAACTTCATACGAAGAACCGGATTTAAACTGATCCATTACAAACCACGGCTTGTAAAACAAATCTACCTGCGAGGTCTGCATGAAGGCTAAATCGCAGATGTGCGGTAAGACAGAATCTGAGCCCTTGAGGGGTCAAATAAAGGTGGTCAGAGATGCCAGTGAGGTTAAATCTCCTACTGTTTAATGAAAAGGTGACGCACCAAAGGCAGGGTACGGTAAAACTACACAGAGGGAGAAAAGAGGTTTCAAAGGTCATTCTTAAAACTTGATCTGTCTGTCTGTCCACCACACGTTCAGTCCGACAGGTCACCGCCCGGGTGCGGAAGCTCCGTGTGGGTGGCAGGTGACGTTTTGGGAGGGCCGCTGGGACAAAGGAAGGGGCTGGACAGGCGCAGGGAAGGGGGGCTCAAGTGCACTGGTGATATCACTTTTAAAGTACAGAGAAAAGAGGAAGATTCATTCAGAACTATAAGCTCCCCCCCACCCTTCCTCTCTTACATCCATCCATCCGTCAATCTGTCCAATGTTTAACCGATTGAAAGCAAAACGCTGAAAAAGCGTAACAGAGAGAGCGCCGCGTCTCTCGCCACCTCCTTTTGTTTTTCGATCACTCTCTCCGTCGGTCCATCCATATGTTTTGTTTGGTGTGTAAGTGTGTATCTGCCAGTGTTGGGTGTTTAGTAGTGCTTCTCACCTCCCTGCTGCGTGTTTGTGTACGCATGTATCAGTATCTGTATGTGTGTGTGTGCGTGTGCATGTGCCATAGCGCTCATACGGCGTACAGTTCATAGATCTTCTTGGCACAGTACGCCAGGGCCGCCAACGCTATCGTGTTGTGCAGTCTCTTTCTGTGCACGTCGTCCCGTCGAACCAGAACCACCGGCGAGGAGGAGGTGAGTGTGTGCAGCGGCAGCCGCGAGAGCTTCTGACTGTCGTACTCCACCTGGTATTTGCAGCAGGGGTCGAACTGCCAGGAGATGCTGTAGAGCGCGGCGCAGGCAAGGCTCAGAGTGCCAGCGGGGAGCGCCACGTAACGGGAGTAGTCGGCGGGAAGGGCGAGCGGCGTCAGGAGGCACACGGCCCCTGCCAGAACAGCGGTTTTGTGCAGGCAGTTTCCCACGGCCACCCAGCGGGCCGTCTCATCTCCGATGCGCGTGGGTTCGATTACGATGTAGCGGTACTGCGCCTCCAGAGCCTGCTCCAGCTCGTACTCAAACTGCTCCTGTGCATTCTCGCCGTTGTAGATCTCGTGGACGATGTAACACTCCGTGGCCGCCATCACTCCCCTAAAGAGAAAGATAAAAAGTGAGAATTCGGAATTAATCCAATCCCATTTCCGATTCTGAAAGTTCTGTTTATGAACTTAAACGCTGCAATCTGATTCACATATTAATTTACATGCATCACATGCAGTCTAAACAAAACCCAGCTGGAGCATTCAGAATTAGCGAAAACCAAGGTGACAATGTCACAGAAGCTACTGCAAATTTTTTTACTAATATTTAGTAAATATTCAGTCTCCTCCACTGACCAGTTCATAAGATGGACATAAAAAAACTTGCACATTCATTAGACGTAAAATGTATGTAAACATACGCTGCATCATGGCACTGTGCATGTACATGCTCACGATGCATTTTTGAATGTGATTGAGAAAATTGTTGTATTGAAGATTATTATTATTATTATTTTTTTTTTTACTGTTTATCGGATCAATTCAGGTCTACATCGAAAACCAGCGTTATAATGTCACTGGAGCTACCGAGAGTATAATTGTTGTTTCTGCATATGTCAGAAGAGCTTTTTTTAGCAAAAAAATGAGTAAATATTCAGTCTCCTCTACTGCCCACTTTGTAAGAGCAAGTAAATATGCTCACGTTCGTGAGACATATGTAAACATATTAAGGTATTATTGAATCAGACAGTTATATTCTATGCTTAATTTCTTCATATTGATCATTAATTATTTCAGGTCTAAACCACCCCTTCCAAACTGAAATTTTATTTGGATTGAGCTCTATCAAATCAACTGAGCCATTCACATGAGGCCTTTTCAGTCCAATTGAGCCATCAATGTGTTTATTTGGTTGCATGTAAATACTGAGATTTACTGTGAGGAAAAATAGTAATACCGATTTCATAAAACAGTTAGACGGTTTTACAGACACTTTAAGACCAGCCAACATCTCTTCAGGTGGGATGGCATTTTCTGTGCTTTTTTGGGGGGAAATTTTGCGCGGAATTTTGCAAAAAGTATTTTAAAATGACCGTATAAAATCCAAACCGACCGTATATTCTGGCCTTTATTAGACACGACCTGTCTCGCGTTATCTAGATCAGCCAGAGCATCTGCGGCCTGAGTTCACAGTGAAACAAGGAACTTTTGAGCTGATGTTATAGAAGTATAAAGGCTGACAGGAAACTTTCATTTGTACAATGAAAGGCCCTTGTTCAGGAATATAAATCAAATCTTGTAATTTCAAAATGGCCATTATTTTTGAAAATACTGAGCTGCTAAACAAATCGATAGACAAGTGAGAGCGGTCCGCAGTTTGCAACGGTTAAAATAAATTTAACGCATACTGTCAGTTTAACAAGCAGGGCATGATTAAACTACCAACATTTTTGGCGGATAAACACAATTTCTTCCCGTTTTCAGGATATCTGCGCCAACCACTAAAGTTAGTATAAAAACTATAAATGCCTGCTAACTGTACACATCTCCTTGAAACTCGCTGTCATGGCTGTGAAGCGCTATTTGAACTTGTTCCTCTCGTGTCAATATAGGTAACACATACTACAAAAAAAGATATGAGATCAATGTCGAGATTTCAGATATAACTGCCATAAAAATAAGTTTTTGCTGTTATCTGCACTGCTAATCAGTTGAGAGACACCAGAGTCAGTAAGCTAATCAAAACAACACATGAGCTCTATTCAAACAATATTTTTTTTAGTGTTTGCGGATCCACAAAACGCCAAAACACCTAGTATTTAAAGGATACTCAACTAACTTAAATCTTGCATAGAGCCTAAAAATTTCACGTCACGTCTTATGAAATAATGACAGGTTTTAGTCTAACTGACCTCTCCCTGTTGACTGGGACACCTCGCCTCCTTCCCAGCGACGCCATCTTGAAAATGCAACGGACTAGACTTGACGCAAAACCCGTCGCGGTGCACTATGAGTAATGTAGTTCTCTGCTCCTTAATAATTCTTAAAGTTCTCGAAAGTGTCCAAGAGACTACAAATCCCGTGAAGCAGTTTAGTTGGGGACCATACCACCTGAACAGAATGTGTAACGATATTAATATTTGCTTTGTTTTGTTAAAGACAGCTGTTTTTAATATTTGAAACACAGTATTTCGTGCAACAGACCAGTAGGCCTAATTGATTTTGATTATGGTTTAATCCATCAGGCTAAATAATTTAGGCTTGCGTTTATGAATAGCGGAGGTGACCAATCGAAAGCAAGGACACTATGGGGCTAATAGTAGGACGAACCATTCCCAAAGCAAACGCAAGCGTAGCACAAACAATGTGGTCTGACAAAATGATTTAACTGTTTTTGTAGCGTGTCCAAAACTTTCGGTCATGTTATGAACGTGGATGCGATCAGCAAGGAACTCACCCATAGTGTGGTCGGTTCTCGTGTATGCAGCGAGTCCCGTCCTCGTACGGCGCCCACGGAGCTGGTGCATACGGGGGTGGGTGAGAGCCGTGTTATAACAACTACACGGTGCTCCCTAACACGTGCAGGGTTTGCGCTCTCTGTCTCCCCCAATAGTGATGGATTGCATAACATAAACTAGTTAACTAGTCTTCTACCACGCTACAATCCATCACGCTCCCTAAGGTCACAAAACTCTGGACTTTTGGTAGTACCTAGGATAGCAAAGTCCACTAAAGGAGGTAGAGCTTTTTCGCATTTGGCTCCCAAACTCTGGAATAGCCTTCCTGATAACGTTCGGGGTTCAGACACTCTCTGTTTAAATCTAGATTAAAGACACATCTCTTTGGCCAAGCATTCAAATAATGCACCTCATAATCTT